GCCCACATACTGCACGCCGTGGAGCTCAGGGAGAAGGGAGTAGGTGAAGGAGCGTCTGGTGGGGAGAGACAAGAAGTTGCAGGTATCGCTGTTCTTGCCGACTAAGAGGAGCCACGGGGACGGGATGACAACGGGAAGGAGTGCGGAACACCAATCCTTGCATGTGGCACGAAAGCAGGCACGGTAAGGGACGGGAAGCTTTTCGCCAATCTTCGTGAGGACATCCAGCGGGAGCGATGTCCAGTCAGGGCTGTCCATGGTGGTCTCCGCCTCTGCTCCTAGTGTTCTTATCTTCATCTGCTGCCTTTGGTGGCTACGAGGAACCGAAGCAAGGACAGAGATGTCGATCGCAATGACAGAGGAGTTGTTGAAGGTGGCGGAGGACCAACGTTGATGAGTTATATAGAGACGGTTCCGATGACGGACACAACTGGGAAAACGATTCCGAGTAGGACAAGCATTCCGAATAGGAGACGACTGATAACATTTCGGACTTTGTTTTAAGCGAAGGATGCCACTTTGTGTGGGTAATTTAGGCTTGAGATAAATTATTTAATGTAATATATATATATATATTTATCATACTATATAATATCGCAGAGTAGCTTTGAATTATTTATGCTATAAAAATATCTTTACAGTAAAAGACATATTCCGGTACAAATCATAAAGTCATTAATTTGTTACCCATCCACGTTTCGGAAAAGGCTTTATAGGCACCGCTCCTTCGACCTCTAATCCCCGGCTACCTTGCCATCTAACGTTAGTACTTCAATTAGTATAATATGAAGTCTATTTTTACATAATGAAAAATAAGATTTCTTTAACTGAGCAGAAAGATTACCTAATACAGTTGAGAAAATCTCATCTACTGTGCAGTTCAGGAAATCTCTCTGTTATCAGATAAAATCTCTTTGTTATCAGATAAAATCTCTCTGTTATGGATCGATGCAACATGAGAGACACGAAGTTGATGTCTGACAACTTGATCTCGCACGAAGTGAAAGTCGATGGCAATGTGTTTCATGCGTGAGTGGAACACTAAATTGATACATAAGTAGGTAGCTTCAACATTGTCATAATATATTGTAGGAGTATGGGTAGAGCTGACTTTGAGTTTTTTGAGGAGATTTATGACCCAATTGAGTTCAACAACAGCAGTAGCAATAGCACGATATTCAGCTTCAATTGTAGATCGGGCCACTGTCTTTTGTTTCTTAGAACTCCAACTGATTAGATTAGACCCAAGAAAGACCACATACCCTGATGTGGAGGTTCTCACATCAAAGTTACCCGCCATATCAACATCAGCAAAGGCACGAAGATGAAGTTGAGTGGTTTTGCAGAGAAAGAGACCATGATTAAGGGTCCCTTTAAAATATCGCAAAATTCGTTTAACCGCAGACCAATGCATAGCAGAAGGCTGGTGCATGTATTGAGATAATTTATTATTGAAAATGAGATATCTGGACGGGTGAGAGCCAAGTACTGTAAGGAACCAAGTACTTGTCGGTATTGAGTTGAGTCCGTGGTAGGACTACCATCACATAATTTGAGTGATTCACTAGTAGAGAGAGGAGTAGCAACTTCTTTCGCATCCTACATATTTGTCTTTAATAATAAGTCTTGAATATACTTTCTCTGTGAGAGGAGGAGACCTGACGATGTAAATGTTGCTTCCATTCCCAGAAAGTAGCTCAAGGGTCCTAAATTTTTAAGGGAGAATCGATCAGCCAATTGCTTAAAAAATGTCTGAATCTCCAAGGGATCATTGCCTGTAACAATAATATAATCTACATATACTAGAAGATATATTGTATTTCCATGTTGTTGTCGTAGGAATAAAGAGGTATCAGACTTGGAGTTGATGAAGCCAATTGATATCATAAACGATCCAAGTTCAGTATACCAAGCTCGTGGAGCTTGACGGAGTCCATAAATGGCTTTTTATAATTTGCAGACATGTCTCGGATACTGGTGATGAACAAAGCTAAGGGGTTGCTGCATAAAGACATCTTCAGTTAAAGTCCCTTGTAAAAAAGCATTGTTAACGTCCAGTTGTCATAAGTTGACGCCTTTGGAGATGACCAAACTTATAATAAGCCGAATTGTTGTGGGTTTAACTACAGGAATAAAAGTCTCTGTGAAGTCAACTCTAGGTCGTTAATGAAACCCTTTGGCTACTAATCGTGCTTTATATCTAGCAACGGACCCGTCGAGGTTCCGCTTAATTCGGAAGACCCATTTACACCCGATGATGTTTTGTGTATGATGAAAAGGTATTAGAGTCCATGTGGAGTTATAGAGAAGAGCATCATATTCTTCACACATGGCTTTACGCTAGTGAGGAGATTTTTAGGCTTGAGTAATTGTGGTGGGTTCACTGGTCTCGGGAGAGGATTTGGTGATAGCATGCAGATCGAGAACCTGACGTGGTTTAAAAATACCACTTTTGAGCGTGTTGTCATTGGATGTCTAGGAACTGAAAGTTGTGGTATTAGTATGGGTGGTGGAGAGGCATCGATAGGGGTCGAGATAGGCTGAGATACATCAGTGGTACTAGGTAAAGAAGGTTGTTGTGATTCTGAGGATATTATATCAGTAGTAGGGGAGGCTTGTGAAGAAGGAAGATGAGAAGGAATGGAGGGAGTGGGAAGCTGTTGAACCGGGAGACTGGATGGTATACTCCAATGATGTATCTTTGTTATAGTGGTCGACATTGTAGGAGACTCGTGGTTTTGAAATGGAAAGACAGACTCCACAAAAACAACATGACGTGAAATAAAGACTTTTTGAGTTTTTGGTTCGTAGTATCGAAAGGCATTATGTTCAAGAGAATATCCTATGAAGGTGCAAGGTGTAGATCATGGTGCTATCTTATGTGGGGCATAGGGACATAGCCACAGATAACATAAACGACCAAATATTCGAAGTTTTTGAAGGTTTGGGGATTTAGAAAATAGTTTTTCAAATGGAGACTGGTATTAGAGAACTGGAGTGGGCAGATGATTAATAAGGTAGATGACAGTTTGGAAGGCTACAGACCAAAAGGTTGCTGGTATGGAGGCTTGATGTAGAAGCGTGAGACCAGTTTCTACAATATGTCGATGTTTGCGTTCAGTAGAACCAACTAGTTGAGGAGTGTGTGGGGATGATTAAGGTGTTGGATACCACAGGTTGAGAGGTAGGATGTGAGAGCTTGATATTCACCCCCACCATCAAAGTAGCCTATTTTAATTGTAGATTGAAAGAAGTTTTCGACCAACTTTTTAAAGTTGGTAAAAATTGTTGAAACTTCTGACTTATGACGGAGAGGATAAATCAATATGTACTTAGTAAAATAGTCTACAAAAATGACATAAAATCTAAACTTGTCAAAGGAAGTGACAGGAGCAGGACCTCAAACATCAGTATAAATAATTTTAAATGGTGTAGAACATGATATGGAAGAAGAACCAAAAGGGAGTCTATGATTTTTATTACTGAGACAAGCATCACAATAAAAGCTATTATTTGTAGGAGTAGAAAGAGAATAACGAGAAAGTAATTTATTTTGGATAGAGAGAGAGGGATGACTGAGACGACGATGCTACACATCAATTGGAGCTGCCATTGAGGAGTAAACAGTGGGCTGTTTGAGTTGTGGAATGAACGACCATTCATAAACATTATCCTTACTATGACCTTAGACCAAGATACCTCTGTGTTTAAATCCTTGACAAGAAAAGAGTTAGGAAAGAATTCAATAGAGGTATCATTTTGTTTGCAAAATTGAGAAACAGAAATAAGATTGTGTTTAATGTGAGGTGCACACAAAACATCATCGAGTGTAAAAGTTGTGGTAGGTGAATTAAGCATTGTGGAACCAGTATGAGTAATAAGAAGTCCTTTACCGTCACCGATGATGATGTCGTCATGTCCACTATAATTATTGTGGATCGACAAGTTCTGTAGATTAGAGGTAATGTGGTGGGATGCGTCAGAGTCCACGATTCAATTATGATCAGTAGTGTTTGGAGTAGTTGTAAGATTTGGTTGAGGCCAATGTGATTGTACAGGAAGTCGGGGTCGAGATCGACAGACCTTTGCAGAGTGACCGACTTTATCACATAATTTGTAAACAACTCTTCATTGATTTGTGTGTTCAGGGCGCCAGGACTGCTGATGATTGAAGTAGCCACCTTGGTTATCGTGATTGAAATGTTGATGATGTGGAGGAGGGGTTTGGTTGGAGCTCAAAGGTTCAGAAAGCATCTTAGTCGAACCTTTGTTAATAGTCTTGTTATACTGATAGCCCATCCTCGTGGATTTTTGATTGACTTGAGCCATGATAGATGGTCCTAACAATTTATCCTCACGCTTGAGATATATCTCAAAATCAGTCAGCTTATCGTAGAGTTCTTCGAACGATACTAGTGAATCACGTGCCCATATTGCTGCTGCCAGTTCCTTGTACTCGTCTCCTAGGACATTGAGGATATGGACAATCAAGGCCAATTTATCAATAATAATCTTTATGTTGTGCATATATTCAGTAACAGTACTTCCCTCTTGTTTTGTTTTCATAAGTCCGAATAGGAGACTAAGCATGCGAGTTCGTGAATGATTTGCCAGGGTGGTTTGCAACTTGTTGTTGGGTTGGCAGCCCACAAATTCAGCCCATAGTGGGCTTGGGCAGCCCACAGCCCACACCCCCTCTTAACCTAATCCTAATTAACATTAGAGGGGTGTGGTGGCTACGTTTTGGAGGCAGAAAAAGGCATAAATAGGGCAGCAACGTGGGAGAAGAAAATAGCCACAAGATTCCAAAAAAAAGGAGGAAAACAAGGCAGAAAAGGAAGAGAAAGAAAGGGAAGAAGACAAGAACAATGTAGAGAGACTGTTCTCAATCATCTAGTAGTGTTCTCCTCTCAAGTTAGATCAAATCTACAGTAGACTCTTGTTGTGATTACCTGGGGAGGTTTTAGA